CTGGCGAGGAATTGGAGAAGAGAGACTAGCAGTTGATGGAGGCCATTCGCAGGAACAGTATGCTCGAAGAGCAACTTCACGCGAAGGATGAAAAGCTCGAGGTGGGAAAAGGGGTGGCCGCAGAGTGTGACTATCTGCAGGGGAGACTGAGGACAATGCAAGCCGAGATGGACCAGAATCTTATCAAGGTCGAGGCGATGAGTGCAAAGTGTATGGGAAAGATGGCCGAGTTGGAGAGAAAGGTCGCCGGGTTGGAAAGTATCGAGAGTGCCTGGTCTGCGGCTTCAACAAGGGCGGCGGCCCTGGAGAACACTATCCGCGTCCTCCAGTCCGAGCAGGAGTCGGAGAGAGCGAAACGCTAATGGAGGTGAGGCTTAAGGAGCACATTGGGGAGATCGACCGGGAAGCTTCGACCTTAGGTGATTGGGTCGCCGCTCTTGAGGCAGAAAATGAGCGATTGTTGGCTCAGATTGAGTCTTCCTCCGCCACTGTTCCCCGCCGCTTACACGAGTTTTGGGTTCATGCTGAAGCTCAGCGAGATATATACAAGAGCCTGTGGGAGGCGGGCAATGTTACTGAGGCCGAATACGAAGGAGCACGAGCAAAGGCACGAGAGGCTCGCATCAACTGTGGTTATGACTCTGTGACTCCGGAGGCCGACGAGGGCGCGGATGATGAGGGAGAGCTTCTTGGAAATGATGGCGATGAGGACGCCGAGTGAAAGAATGTTGTCTTAGTCTGTTTTTTTATTCATCGTGTGTTGTCGTTGTTCCTTTCTTTTTTTTTATTGTTGGCTTGGGCCATATGTAATATGCGACCGTTGGCGCGACGACTTTGTATAAAGAGGAATTTTCTCGTTATTATCTGCTTTGTGCTTTATCTTTGTTTTCGCTTTTCGCGATTTTGGTACGGGATAGATTCCTGTATGACGAGTCCCGGCTTTTCCTTCCCTTTTTGTTTTGTGACGGCACTTGGCCTTGGATATATTTCGAACTTTTCTCTTTGGCGATGGCTTGTGGCCTTAAAGGGTGTTATTTTGAGCTTATCGAAATAGTAACCCGTCATCATTCGATCGAGGTCGAGCTCTTCTTTTTAGGGAAGTCCCTTGGCCTTAAAGGGTGCTATTTCGAACTTATCAAAATAGTAACCCGTCATCGTTCGATCGAGGTCAAACTCTTTTTGTTTTTTGGCGAAGGCCCTTAGCCTTTAAGGGTGTTACTTCGAACTTATCAAAATAGTAACCTGTCCTCATTCGATCAAGGTCGAACTTTATTTTTTTGCGAAGGCCCTTAGCCTTTAAGGGTGTTATTTCGAACTTATCGAAATAGTAACCCGTCATCGTTCGATCGAGGTCGAACTCTTCTTTTTGGCGAAGGCCCTAGCCTTTAAGGGTGTTATTTCGAACTTATCGAAATAGTAACCCGTCGTCGTTCGATCGAGGTCAGACTCTTCTTTTTGGCGAAGGCCCTAGCCTTTAAGGGTGTTATTTCGAACTTATCGAAATAGTAACCCGTCGTCGTTCGATCGAGGTCAGACTCTTCTTTTTGGCGAAGGCCCTAGCCTTTAAGGGTGTTATTTCGAACTTATCGAAATAGTAACCCGTCGTCGTTCGATCGAGGTCAGACTCTTCTTTTTGGCGAAGGCCCTAGCCTTTAAGGGTGTTATTTCGAACTTATCGAAATAGTAACCCGTCGTCGTTCGATCGAGGTCAGACTCTTCTTTTTGGCGAAGGCCCTAGCCTTTAAGGGTGTTATTTCAAACTTATCGAAATAGTAACCCGTCGTCTCGATCGAACTCTTCTTTTTGGCGAAGGCCCTTAGCCTTTAAGGGTGTTATTTCGAACTTATTGAAATAGTAACCCGTCGTCGTTCGATCGAGGTCGAACTCTTCTTTTTGGTGAAGGCCCTTAGCCTTTAAGGGTGTTATTTCGAACTTATCGAAATAGTATCCCGTCGTCGTTCGATCAAGGTCAAACTCTTCTTTTTGGCGAAGGCCCTTAGCCTTTATGGGTGTTATTTCGAACTTATCGAAATAGTAACCCGTCGTCAGTCCCAGTTTTTGGAGAGTCAGGCATCTTTCGAGGGAGTCCCGGTTTGCTTGATATTGTTTGCATTGGAGGGCGTAATGTCGGAGAGGATGAAACTTTGTTGTTTCTCTTATGTTCATTTTGTGCCCATATTGGAGTTTCTTTGCCTGATTCCGGCCTTCCGCCCTGAAGATGTTATCGTCGGGCGATTTTTCGGTTATCTTGTAGTAGTTTCTCATTCTTTAATTAAGATGTTTCTTTGCGCGTTCGCCCGCGCGACATTTGTATTCCTGCTTGAGCAAAGGGCAGAATGTGAGTCAAAATTATATTTTCCTTACCCCCATCCGATGGACCGGTGAACGAGAGCAGGTTTGTAACGTTGCTCATTTTGTTTGGCATTTCGACGGTTGATGGGGCGAGGATTTTCAAATCCGGTTACTCTATTCAGCTCTCTTTCCCCTTCTATGCTGCAACTTTGTCCTGCGTGGGTCGGGTCTTGCCTTAGCGCTCTTTCTGGTGGGTAATCGTGTTTCTTGTCTTTGATCTGGAAGAGACTAGGAAACTTCACCAAGAAATCCCCACAGACGGCGCCAAATTGTTTGACTCAAAAGATATTGAAACCTTTTTGAACAAATCAATCAAAGAAAGTGAAGAGGTAAATCTTAGTTAGACATAATAAATTCCAGATCAATGAGCTAATTGAAAGAATAGTATATGAGATACAAATGGAGTAATCGTTCTCGTTGAAATTCTTTATTGGGGCTCCCATTAATTAATGTGAGAGGCAGTTCTACATGTTTTTCAAGAGATTATCTCTTTCTTCTTTATTATGAAGATTCCAAGGAGAGAACTAGGGAGAGAGGATGGAAAAAAAGCCCCCCCCCCCCCCTCCCCCATCGAAGGTTCTTCCGTATTATATATAGTCATGTGACCTTTGATATTCACTCGGTCCGACACTCTCACACTATGTGTGTCTTTGATCGTCTTTTACACGTTATTTCTTCTGACTCGACAGGTGTCGAGAGTGCTGATTGTGGAACATATTATGTCGTCTTTCGCTGCCTTGCCGCCTGGGCGGGGTGTTGGTCAGCTTGACCACAATGGTCATATTTTGACCAATACATTTATATTATCGGATCAAGTTTCCTATTATTCGAGCATTTAAAACAATTCAATGTGGCACATTTTAATCTAACCTACTGTTGGCTTAATTTTCTCACCAATATAAAAAAGGCGAGCCTTCTAAGATTGTTTATTTATAATCTACTCGCTTCTTCAATTTTAACCGGATAAGTTGATAAATATATTTCAAATTAGCGGAAGTTAATTGTTTTTGCCTTGACTACTTTTTAAATTCAGGGAATGTTTCGATGGATTGGTACGACACTTTAGTGCGAGCAAAAAATCAGTAAATGAAATCCGACCTTTGGGATCTACTAGGGACATTCATCCCAAATTTTAGAAAAGGGCAATGACTAGTACTAGAATTGTGTGAAATGTTCTGTTATTCCATTTTGATGAAGTGGTCTCAAAAGGTTTTGAAATTCCACTGGAAATCTGTAAGCATAAAATTGAGTATGAACATAACATCATAAAATGGAAAGTAAAATAAAAATCTGTGGAAAAAGTCGGACAAAGATAATACTACTGGACATCATGAGTCATGGCTTGTCCCTTCTGATGTACTGTACTGTCCTGTCTTTTTGCAAGTACATGTTCTCAAACAATAAGTGTTCGCGCTATTAGCAATATATAATCTTAAATTCATCGTTGAGTTAGTCTTTTACACATGTTATCAGTACTGCTCTTAAAATTTTTGGTTGAGCTTTTGCATTTGAGTTTTAATTAACATCAAAAAATTGAAGCCAAGTGCATGGTTAGCGTTGTCATCAACAGTTTAAGTTTGTGCTAACAAAAGTCATTGCAAAAATTCTATATCCTCATTCTCTTCGCATTTTGCCTTTCTGCTTTGTCGAGTGAATATATCTTTGTTTATTGGACCACAGAAAGTTCCCAATTGGATAAATCCAACCTCCTTCTCCAACTAATCAGACGCTTAATTCCTTCTGGATTCAATCATCAATAGAAGAAAGTCACTTTCTACCTGGGAACTTAATCAAGATTTTCCTTATCCCACCTCCACACATATTTCTTTAATTGCATATCCATAATCACAAGCCAGAATTTGAACCTTATGGATTCGGGATTTTAATTAGTTCTTTTAAATTATTGGATTCTAAATTAACAATTTGTATATATTCAATGAATATTTTAAGACAATTCAAAATTTGGATCAAAGTTACTACATTCCGCCCTATACCTACAAACTAGCTCCATCTAACAATGATAAATAAGAAATGGTACCCTTATACCATTGCTTATCGTATCATGAAGCATAAAATCCCTACGTACAATGACACGTTTCTTTTTTCTTTTTTCCGTATGAGATAAGAATCATTATCATGAAACTTCTTTAGTATACACGTACACGTAGCGGGAATATATATGCATCAGTTGTCAAACCAATACTCTCATGAAATTCTGCAACAAATCCAAATATCTTTTTACAATGTTAATTTACTTGGCTAATAATGAAAATATTGCGACGTTAAAGAAATTGTTCATAATTAGGCACCATCATCAGAACATATAGAGTAGAATACTTGTGAAGTATATGTCTCTAATGAAATGAAACGACCACATTGAACACATACAGTAACATTTATACTCACTTGGATTTAAATTTGTTTAATATTGCCAAAAAGAAAAATAATGTCTGAAATGGATTATCTGCATTTGCGCTAGTAAATTGTACTATTAATTACTTACGCACTGACAATCCTAAGAAGTAGAATAAAAAAATAAGAGCAGTAAATCTAATACATTAATTATTCTTAAATGGAACTTCCAGTTCTTTTCCTTTTCTAGGATTATANATATATATATATATATATATGTCTCGTTGGACCTTCATTTCTCCTCACCTTAAAATTCAAAGTCTAAACAAAATCAACTCGTATATATTTACAGGAGCTGGTATCTATATATATGTATTATACTGAATTTGCCAATATTGGAGAGTGAGCAGAATGGTAACTGAAAAGCCGGTGGTAATATTCAGCAACAGTTGTTGCTGCATGAGCCACTCTATTAAGTCTCTCTTCTCCGACCTCGGTGTTAACACAGCGATTTACGAGCTGGACGAGATGCAGAGAGGCCATGAGATAGAGGCGGTGCTTTCAAATCTCGGCTGCAATCCAACGGTGTTCATCGGCGGCGAAATGGTGGGTGGAGAAAATGAGGTGATGAGTCTTCATCTCCAAGGGTCCTTAAAGCCAAAACTCAAAAGCGCAGGAGCTTTGTGGGTTTAGACGTTTAGTAACGTACGCCTAAACCTCTACGTATCCAACGCAAGCCAATAATAACAATAACAATGATCATATATGGTGTTGCTTTGCGTTTTTTTTTTTAAATTTTTTTAAATAATACTCTTAGTTAGAGTTTGGCTACTAATTAATTACTTTTAGTATGAAAAAGGAAAAAAAGTTAAAGTGCGTGTATGTATAAGGATTAATCTTATATATACAATGACAGATGTAAAGATTTCTAACACTATTTGTATATTAACTTCTTGTAGTCTGCTTTATTTTTAACACTTATTATGAACACTTATTTGTAACTATTTTTTTGACGATGCCCGAGTACTGTATAATTTATTTTACACTATTAAGAGCCTCTTTGAATTGGCTTATTTCAAGTGCTTCTAATCCATTTTGTAGTATTTTAATAAAGTAAAAAAAAGTATTTTTAAACATTTGTTTTAAAGTTAAAATGACAAAAATAAGCCATAACTCAAAAACTAGAATTTCTAACTTATGATTTTTGACTTAAAATTCACTTACAAGTTATAACAAGTCACATCCAAACAAGTCCGGATTTAGTCGGGCCCCAATATAAGTACCGGAAACCGAGCGAGAAACCAAAAAAAAAGTCACGTCCAAACGGGCTCGAATATAGAGTTAAACTCTATGTAAAAAAGGAGAGCGCGAGAGTATATTCCAATGACCCTATTTTTACTAAAGTAAAACACATGACTGAAATTGAAAGATACAAATGATGATGGAATTATAATCCTTGAATCTAATTCAACACGACATTTGGAGACTCCAACAAAGCTATGAGTGTTTTATCAAAATCATGACCTTAGTTTGGAGTCAATTCTAGGTTTTTTTGAATTGGAGAATTTTAATTTTATTTTGACTTGGACGAGCTTTCCAAATTAGGAAACAAGAATCGGGCCGGTGATATAACCGCCAAAGAAATCCAATAAAATCTGCTGGATTTAACAATTGGCCCGATTTGAAATCGTCTCTTCCCCTATGGACTCGAGATTTAAGCGAATTGTCAATGCTGTAGTCGGGAAATCATGTCCAATATGCCTGAGCCGGTTACACCATCGGAAAGCAGCGGTTATTATCCCATGTATGCACGCCTACTGCATCGACTGCATCCGCAGATGGAGCCATATGAAGCGAAAATGCCCTCTCTGTATCTCCGACTTTGATTCATGGTTCTCTAGAATCAGTTTCTCCTCCGGGACCTTTAAGAAAGAGAAATTATCAGCTCCTAACGAGACTAAGAAATTACGCTTAGGGTTTGCATCATCTAGGTCGAGAGATCGTTTGGTGGACCAAAGGTTAGTTTTTATCCTTAATTGTCCATCAGGTTTAGCCATAACCAAAAAATTAACTTTAGTGTTAAAAGTACAATTAATTTGAAGTGCCCGGAAGTTGGCTCGGATTATCCCCCAAAAATAGTACAATTAATTTGTGAGTTTTTTCTTGTACAGAGCGATTAGGAGAAGGAGAGACGAGCTGAATGGTTTTGGCTCCAGAACGAGGCCGTTCCCAAGGCGGCGATCCTTTGATCAGATTGGAGCTTCAAATTCATATGATATTAACAGGAGAATAATTCACTGGCGTGCTAGGTATTTTGTCTAAATTAACATGGAAAATCCTAAATACATGGCTAGTTGTTTGACCTATCGTGATATATTTTGGTTGCAGTATATATGAAGAGAGATTGCAGGCTGTTCGGTTTTCATCCAAATATTGTCTTGTGCAGGTAATGCTCACCCCAATAAATTGACGCTCTTCACTAAATAAATTAAAGAAATTGTGGTTATTATGTCTGCTATCTTAGCTATTATTATGTCTACTATCTTGATGATAAACCTGATGGCTAGAAGTTGTTTGTCTTAACTGATTCTGCTTGAGACGTCTAAATTTGATTCTGATCTTTACTCGGTGTTTAAATTTATAGCGCATGGATAATAGGAGTGCCAAAGAAAAGATGTTACAGAGAATAGAACCTTGGATAAGAAGGGAGCTGCAGGCTATACTGGGGGATCCAGATCCGTCCATTATCGTCCATGTTGTTACCTCACTTTTTATCTCCGAAAATACACATTCAACACAACAGTATGCCGGAGATGATTTTCTTGCGCCGTTGCGACCCTTCTTGCATGAACATGCTGAAATGTTTTGGCACGAACTGAGGTATCTTTCATTATACTTCTATGCTTCTTTACTTTAACCTAGCTATTGTATACATTAGTCAAACCTTTATGTTGCATGACTCTAACAGCAATCAAATTTTCATCAAAGAAGTGTTTTCTTTTCTATTTGAGGCCAAGTATTCAAGTTGAACACTCCGTAGTCGATATTTTATGACATTTCTCAAAAACTAACAAAAAATTGCTATGTTCTAATAGCAATCAATCTTTTTGCTCGTACAAATACTTCTCCATTCAGGACCAAGTATCAGAATTGAACACACTGCAGTCAATATTGGGACTTTGGGAGGGGAAATTCATAGGGATATTTGCACAAATATGGCCGCATTCACTGTTTAGTTTTCCTATATATACATAGATTTTACACTGATTATACATATATTATACATCCACCATTTATTTCTGGTTTAAGCTGTTGGGTTGTTGACTATTTAGGTCAATTCCTCAAATATCCAAGCAAATTGATTTGGATGTAGGGCAGGAGAATCACCTTTAAGCCCCCC